AACAGGCAGCCATCTAGCTCAGAAGCAACAAACAAAGCCCACAAGAAGCACACCAGCCTGTGTGATCTTGAGGTGTCAGTGGGATCAGGTATCAGGCATCAAAAACCCAGAACAAAAAAATCATATCAATGTGAATGAGGAGGCGCGTGAGTGGACACCCAAAACCCATCTGTAGACAATTGGACATCACCCCTTTACAGAAGGGTTACAAGAAAGAGACAAGCCAGTCAGGATGCAGTATAGCAGTGATGAAACATATAACGTTCCTCTAGTTCTTTAATACTTCCTCCCCCTACTTCCCCCATCCCGCACTATCATGACCTCAGTTCTACCTTACAAATTCGGCTAGACCAGAGCATATACACGGGTACAGATAAGAGCTGGAAACACAGGGAATCCAGGACAGATAACCCCCCTGGACCAAAAATAAGAGTAGCGATACCAGGAGGGGAAGGGAAAGGTGGGAGGAGAAAGGGGGCACCAATCACAATAATCTTCTTATAACCCCCTCCCAGGGGACAGATAACAGAAAAGTGGGTGAAGGGAAACAGCAGTCGGTATAAGACATGAGAAAAAAATATAAAAGTTATCAAGGAAGGGTTCATGGGGGCGAGGGGGGTAAATGAGCTGATATCAAGGGCTAAAGGAGAAAATGTTTTGAAAATGATAGTGGCAACATATGTACAAATGTGCTTGACACAATGGATGTATGTATAGGTTGTGATAAAAGCTGTATGAGCCCCCAGTGATTTTTAAAAAAATGAAATCTTACATAGAAACCCCATGGAGAAGGGCACCTGGGTGACCCTTTAGCGCATCCCTTTTCTCACCTTGGCCCCCATAGCCATAGCCATTAGGTCACCCCACATTGCCCAGCACTTTCAAAAACTTCAAAGCCTCTTCTCCATAACCTTCCCAGTCTCAAGGAGACACTCCATGGGGTTGAGCCACACCATTCATTGTTTCGAAGCTCTCCTCTCTCCTAAATCCCTTTCCAGAGAAAGAATCCCTGTTCATTTCTAATGGGATCAAGTCTTCCAAGTTCAAAGCCGTTTCTGAAATGCTAAAGAAATTGTTCAGGGGAAAGAAAGAGGAAAGATTTTTAAAATAATTCCTTAATTCCATACTCCCTTCACTGTGGCCTTAGCACCCTCATTAGAATCACCTGGGTTGTTATTGGTGTTGTTGGGTTAGCTCCCACTGAGTCGACTGCTGACTCATAGCAGCCCTGTGCACAACAGAACAAGACATTGCCCAGTCCTGTGCCAGCTTCTCCATTGTTCTCATGTCTGAGCCTGTTGTTGCAACCACTGTCAGTCCACCTTGTTAAAAGCTTTCCTCTCATTCAGTGTGCCTCTGCTTTATCACGCATGATGCCCATTTCCAGGAACCAGTTTCTCCTGACAATATGTCCAAAGTACGTCAGATGCAGTCTGGTCACCCTTGTTTCCATGGAGCATTCTGGTTTTACTGCTTCCAAGACAGATCTGTGTGTTCTTCTGGCAGTCCATGGTACTTTCAGTATTCTTCGCCAGCACCATAATTCAAATGCATCCATTCTTCTTTGGTCTTCCTTATTCAGTGTCACATTTTCACATATATATAGTAGACAAGTAAAAAGACCATAGTTTGGGTCAAGTGCACCGCAGTCTTCAAAATATCTTTGCTTTTCTACACTGTAAAGAAATTATGTGCGGTGGACTTACTCTATGTAATGCATCTGTTGATGTCTTGACTGCTGTATCTATGAGCATTGATTGTGGATCCAAGCAAGATGAAGTCCTTGACAACTTTCAGCATTTATCTCTTTATGATAATGTTACCTATTGGTTGTGAGGGGTTTTGTTTTCATTATATTAAGTTGTACTCCATAGTGAAGGCTTCACATTATCCAATTCACTCTTCTTTGAGAAGGCAGCTCTTCCTCAGTCATATTTTGAGTGTCTTCCGACCAAACTGTTCACCTTCTGTCGCTACATCTGGCAGTGTTCCACTGCTATTCAGAAGGTCTTTAGTGGCTATTTCCTCAGAAGTGGACAGCCTAGTGCTGCTTCGTACTCTGTTCTTAGTCTGGAACCTCAGCTTTGGGTGACCTTGCTGATACTTGATTAGCTTCCAGCTTCGCAGTGACACGCAAGCCGCCGCACTATGACAAACTGACAGACAAATCCTGCATGTGTAAGAGAAAGGCCTAGACTTTGGGTTTGTTGCAGGCTCTCCAGAGATGAAGAACCACAGCCTACTTCTCGGAACTAAAGATCCATCTGCTCTTGTGTGGCAGGAATCCTTTTCTCCAGGATAGTGTAAAGTAGGATAAGGTTATCTGATGATTGTATGCCCTGAAAAAGGAGTGGATTGGGTTCTGGGAGCATGCAGAGTACAAACATTGATTCGCAGTGGATTGTTGGGGGCAGATAAATGAGGAAGAAGTGTTTGGACTGGACATAAAGAGCAGAGAGGGCCCACACTGCAGGTGCAGAACAGTCATCAAGCAACTGAAACATCAAAAACATCAGTACAGCAAACTGAAAACTCGTGTTTGACCAAAGCATGGTGCTAGTGCTTGCAAAGGATAAATCTGCCATCTCCAGTCCAGAATCCCTCAGATAGCTGGCCTTCTGAGTTTAGAACTATCTGATTTTATGTGACATGCCCAAACATAACCCAGTGGGCTGTTAATTACCAGGTCACTGGTTCAAACCCACCTTTCATTCAACAGGAGAAAGATGAGGCTTTTTTTGCAGCAGAAGATATGGTTTGATACTGGGATAATAGACTTATAGCCTCCTATCAGATCAGGTCATATTTTATCATCAAATGAGTTAGGGAAAACTTTGCTCTGCAGGAATGACTTTTTCTTTTAGAATGGCAGCTAAAACATTGTAGGCCTGAAATAAAAACAAAGTCTGAAACTTTCATTAGAATCAGATCTGTTTGGACCTATTTAAAGTAGAACTGTTGCTTGTTTGCCGTGAAGTCAATTCTGACGGATAACAGCCCTTTATTGGCAGCAGGCTGCCCGAGAGAGTTTCCTTGCTATAATCACAATTGTCCTTCTCTGACCCTATTACCCACTGCCACTGAGCTGATTTCAAATCATAGTAACTCTCTGGAACAGAGGAGAAGTGCCCTGTAGGGTTTCTGAGACTATAAATCTTTGTAGGAGCAGACACCTCATCTTTCTCCCAGGGATCCAATGGGTATGAGCCAGCGACCTCGAAACCAGTGGGTAGTGCTCAACTCACTGTGACTTGGTCTTTCTGATCTTATTCGAAACCTTTTATATGAGGACTGTGGCTACAACTGTACTTCCTTCCAGGAGCTTTCTCCTTTGGAACTATTTAAAGCCATTGTGATGAGGGAAAAGCAAAGAATGTGTGTTTATGTGAAATACGTGTAACTTTTTTGGTGATTGTAAGTAATGGCTGTAGAGAGAGGACCCAAAAGCTTCACCACACTCCATGCTCCATATTTTATGGCACAATTAGTGCTGGGCATTTATTTATGGAATGCCAAAAAGAAAATGAGACCATCAAAAGGGCAAACAACAAAATCCTCCCCTTCTGGTTCTTTGAGAATTGGTCTGTAAAGAGAGTACCGGCTTACTCGTACTTCTTCATTTGCTTAAGATGGGAGTTGTTGCATTGATAGCGATGGACTGGCCGGGATCAATGAAATAAGATCAGGAAGGTCAAGATTTACATCCGCGATTCTTCCCACCCTTACTGTTTGTCTTGGTGCAGCCCTCACATTATTCATTTACATTGCCATCGTTTGGTTGCCATCATTTGTCCAGGGTGGGTTGTGTTTCCTGAAAGTAGCCAGTTCTTCATGGGATCTGGTTAATGCTACACATGCACAGGGCCTTCAGAAAGGGAAATTGAAAGATAATGGAATTTTTCTGCAAATTTTTGAAGCTCCCCTAATTCTAGGTGACAATAAGGGTAAAACCAAGCTCAACTCCCATTGAGTTGAATCCAACTCCTTGCAACCATATAGGACAGGGTAGAACTGCCCCTTGGATTTATGAAAATATGACTGCTTACGGGAGCAGAAAGCCTCATCTTTCTCCCAGGGAATAGCTGGTGGTTTCAAACTACTGATCTTGTGGTTAGCAGCCCAACTTGTAATCCACAATGCCACCAGGGTTCCCTACAATGATAACATAGTTATTATATTTAACAAGTTCCAAAGTGCACATTTTTTTCATATTCTTTTATTCTCTGAAATCATAATACATCTTTTAAAAAGTTTTGTCATAATTGTCATAATTTAATTGGCAGCATTTGTTTGTTTTTTCCTGACTACATAAAACATTGTCTCTTTTATAAAGTCCATGGTGATTATGATTTGATGAAATACATGAGGCTGGGTTTTTAAAAAATAATAATTTTTGTATAAAGACAATTAACAGTATAGTAAAGTTAAATTACAATGCATAGAATATTGACTACCAAATGATACTCCATGTAACCAAACTTCAGGTATGATCAAAACAGGACAGTACCTTGATTCAGTGCACACCAAATATATAAATGGTGAAGGAAAGAAAGGTACAGAATGAGACTCCTTGCCTGTAGGTGGACCCAAGAATTGGAATTTGAAAGCAAACAGGGAGGGCATTTTGTCTGTGATGAAGGCAGAAAGGTAGCAGGCAAATGGACTGACGGTAGGAACTTAAAGTAAGGAGTTAGGCCTTGAAGGTCAGACTGAAAGAACTTTAATTAGACTGGAGAGCAGAGGGGTCTGGTGGAAAGTTGTTCTGAAGCCTCAGAGTTAGCCTGGGTTAGCTCTTGGGTTTGCCATTAAGGACCTATCCCCCTCCCCTCCCCAAAAAAGTTGAGTTGAAAGTAAAGATAGAGGGCCCTTTTCCTTGTAACAGCTTCTTTCACTTCTTTAAGATGTACAGTGTGTTTTCCAACTGAATCCTTGGAATGCAAAGGCTGCATTAGTGAACTATTTCTTGGCCTCTGGAATCACACTGTCTTTTTTCCCCGCAGATTGCCTTTTCCCAGCACAGCAATTTTATGGACCTGGTACAGTTCTTCGTGACTTTCTTCAGGTAATTTCACCTGTACCAACTGTATCTGTTCCTTTGATTCAGGTACTTGATTGTATTGTCTCCTCATAAAACAGTGATCCTCTGTTTCCGTAACATCAGATTTAACTTTGTGTTCCTCAAATGTAATAAATGACAATTGCATCTAATCTGAAAAAATGAAAACATTTTATTTCTGGCTCTCTTTTTTTTTTTTTTTGTCAGGCAGCTTTTTACGTGCTGCCCAAGCAGTCATGCAGGTGCCCAAGTGGCATAGTGGGTTTTGCATTGGACTGTTAAAGGCAAAGTCAGTAGTTCAAAACTATCAACCACTCTGCAGGAGGTCAGTGAGGCTTTCGACTCCCGTAAAGAGATACACTCTCAGAAACCACAGGGACAGTTCTGTTCTGCCCTATAGGGCTTCTGTAGTCCAGTTCAACTTGATGATAAGCTTGGTTTGGGTTTATACAGTTATGAAGGAGTCCTGTGGGTAAGACAGTGGGCTGTTAACCAAGAGGTCAGCATTTCACACCCACCAGCCACTCCTCAGGAGAAAGATGAATCTGTCTGCTCCTGTAGAAATTAACATCACCCTACATAGAATTGTTATGAGGTGAGATCAACTGTATGCCAGTGGATTGTTGTTGTTTATACAGTCAAATGTGCAGAGCATCCATTCAGGCAACATTTGTTTGTGTGTACACTCACGGTCCCATGAGGTGATAATAGAGTTCAGAGAGGGTGATCAGAGAACAGCAGGTTCCCACATGAAATGTGTGCATCTTTTATACACAAAATGATAGCGCCACCAGGCATGCAGTACAGTACAGTACTTAGCACCTAAAATTGGTACGTCGTGATGGTCATAAGTGCCTAAACTATTGGCTTAGGTATGTACTATACTGTACTTTCTTGCTAAAAAGCTTATCATGTAATTGTGTGTGCTTTGACTCATAGACAACACATACCACCATCTCTAGAGTGGTGTAGTGCTGTCTCTGTGTTTCATTTTCTTTCGAATGTATCACTGTGAAGTGCGTCTTGTCTCCTCGGTGCAAAAAGCGAGTGCTGGTGATAGCATCACCAAACTGCAAAGGAAATGTATCAATTTGGAAATGAATGCTGTATTGCTTGTGATTTAGGCGTGTTGCACTCAACAATCAGGATGATCTTCAAAAACAGAGATAAAATTCTCAAAGCTGTTAAAGGATTGGTTCCACTAAAAACTGGAAGGTTCATTAAATGTGAGAAGGACCTATACCAGATACAGAGGAATTGCTAATATGTCAATGGAGGACCAAACTCAAAGGCATGTTCCTACTAAGGCAAGAAGCTTGTTCAAGATGCTGCAAGAAGAGAGCCCAACTACAGGGGGCGCTAACCCACCCAAGGGGAGGGTACTGTTTATATCTCCACAGGAAAAGAGGGGCCAGACTTCAACCCAGTGCTCCAAGGTGTGAATACAACATGCGGCGCGGAGTAGGGAACCAGTAGAGAGGTCTGGGGGGCTGGCCCCAGTCCCATATACTAAGTGGATGCCTGCCCCTCCCCCGAGAAGAAGTTATTTCAAAGGATGGCACTGAATCCGCAGCTCCGGGAGA